TTTAATTGACATTATTCCACGTGAGGACATTTTCAAATACGTACTATAGTCTTGATGATAAACAAATATATAAATGTGAATGACAACAGTTACAGTTTTATTTATTCAAGTGTCTTTTAGCCCTTGAAACTTAACGTAACATTCAGAAAATAAAAGTATTTCTTTGTCTGTAATAAACAAACAAAAAAAGTGCAAAAATGTTATTTAAATACTTTTATTCAGAGAAAAGTATGATGACTCTAACTATTATCCTCAAAGCTAATACAGTAAAGGGATCTGTGCTCAACGTTTCCAGTTGTTTTAAGAAGCCAAAGTAAATATGTTCTAAAAGTTTCTCTGTGCATTTGACAAACGTTTCTCACGCCCTTCACACAAGCCAGATTTATACATTGAAAAAAGCAGAAAAAAGAAACGTTGTATAAATAAACTGGTGTGTAAAAATATAAGGTTAAACATGAACTATGGCTTGATTATGCCTGACAAAAGGCATGACCATGCAGAAACACACAGAAAAACTGTTAAACAGATGCCAACAAACTTTTGATTTCCAGTTCAATATTCTTGTTTTTGGATTTTTATGTTTTAATGCATAAAAACAAATATAGTACTACGCGTGTTGCTTCAATTTATCGGAAATGTTGTGGTTGGCTTTCATGTGATGTTGAGAGTCAATTTAATGAATTAGGGATGCCACCGAAACAAGATGTTGGTTACACCATTTCCCTATTGGGCAACTGACAATTAAAAAGCTCCCACTATATGCAAACACCGGTCTTCTTGAAAAGGTGGCCTTCTTCTAGAGAAAAGAGGCTTTAAAAAAAGCAACAAATTTCAAGGGTTTAATTGCTTTGGGGTTTTTTTTTTTGTTTTTTTTGGAAGCAAATATGAAGATGCAAAACCATCTCCGACACAACACGAAGCTTTGTGCTGCCGGCCACTAACTTACTGTGCTAATCAGTACATTTGCAGAGCCTTAAGCTTTCTAAAGTAATATAAACGCTCCGTTTGTGTCCAAAGAGAGGGGAAAGCGTTGGCCACAGCAGGCAAATTAAACACATGCTGCACTCCTGGTTGAAACCACAACACAGGCAAACAAAGGCCACAAAAAGCAATGCAATATTGTTCGGCATTGCTTTCAGACGCATAGCGTGCCAACAGCAAATAGGTGGGTGTGAGCAAGAATTAGATCAGCTGATCTGATAGCCTGAAGAGTGTATTTCATTAGGCTCATTTACTTTATAAGACCACAGGCGTTAGAGAATAAATAGACTTTTACCGTGAGGTCTTTGGGTTCTTCAGCTTAAAAAGTCTCTTTTTCTCTTTTATCAGTGTGCAGTGTTGATACCTCGCCTGTTTGGCTTTACTGTCATATGAAAGGAAATGTATTACACCTGTCGAATCACAGGAAGCACATATGAACTCCTTGCAGAAAGACCTTCTTGTTGCAAGGCAACAGTCTGTTTTTTTGTTTATTTATTTTTTTACATATGTGCAAAAAAATACTAACAGCAAGAAGCATAATGTCAGACCTTTCGTTTTACATATTTAAGGCAGTGGGGTGGAAGTGCAAACTCATCAATATTCCCGCTCCAAATAGTAGTTAGTAGTTAACCCATCAGTACAGTATCCGTTTGACTTTAATTACAGTGGGTGTACAATTGTTATTTCTTTCATTTTCACCAAATTAAATATATAAATGACTAACTTTAACCAGCATGTGATCATTTGAACAGTTTTGTCTGCTAAGTGTGAAACCCGCAGGAGAGACGATCAAAGAGTGTTAAATTAATGCTAAATATTTAACCAGCTCGGCAGTCATAAAGAGGGCAGCGACCTTACACGGCAGAGAGGAAATTACAGCTCACCCGTTGACGTGCGAGCAAATTCACACCTGACTGGAAAGTAGGTGAAAAATAAAATATATATATATATATATATATTTTTTTTTTTTTTTTTTTTTTAAGTAGATTTAACTCCATCTTTGAGGAAATACAGAACGTTTTCACTCCTAACAGTTAAACACGTCTATGATCTCTGGAGAGTTTATATTTAACTTTTTATATCATCATTCACTGTCTTATAATGTAACAGTTTCAACATACTAATAACCGTTTTCTTGCATATTATATACTATAAGATATAGTAGCATTTGAACACACTTCCCTGCCTTATGACTATTGATTACTGATTGTATGTTGTTTTGAAGTACTTCAAATCCTGATTGGCTGATTTCCTTGAGATCAAAGTGAAATGGTAAAAATTGTCAGTTGCTGGTTTTTATTTACACACACATGCAAATACATACAGCCTGAAGGTGTAGTTGTACAAAGTACACAGAAGAGCATCCCGCAATCGAACCTTCCAAAAAGCACCTGATTCATGACCTCACCATCTCTCTGAAATTTTTTTTAAATGTTTTTTTGTTTGTTTTTTTAAAGAATTCACTGTTTCTGTCAATAAATGTGTGTTACCGTCCATATCTAACGTCTACATAATGATCAGCAAGTAACTTCACACAGTCCCCTGCTGGACATAGTTGATCACTACACCCTCAAAAAAAAAAAAAAAAGAAAAAAGGAAAATAGATCCTTCCTCAGTTAAAACTGTTCATAAAGACAAATGAAACTTAAAGCTGCAGGTTTCAGGGTTTCATGTCTTATTTTCTGTCAGTGACTCATAGACAATTCTGACTGTTGTTGGAAACCACAGGAAGGATGTGGACATGTACTTTGCTGCTCATCTTAGATTTATGTAGCAATGCTCCAGCCTTGCTCCGCGTTCGCACGTCGGATGGGGATGATGAGGGTGGAGGGGGGTGAGGGTGGGGCAAGAGGCGAGGGGAGGTGTTGATTATGTGGGTCAAGGCAGTTGATCGGATGGAGGCCGCGCAGAGAGACTCCAGATGTAAACACAACCAAATCCCTCATGTTCCTCTCTAATTAATCTCATTTGTGAAGCATCAAAGGTCAGATAAGCCGGTCACTACTGCCACTAATAACAGCAGAGGAGGAGTAAACAAATACAGGCCGCGGGCCAGATGCATATTCCAAACGCTTGCAGCGTTTCCCACGGCGTTGTCTCGTGGGATGTTTGGAAAACGGGAACGCAACGCCGAGCTGACGAAGACGCCAGCTGACAATGCCACTCACTTCCATCGCTTTACAAGAGTTTTCCAGGATTCCCTTGGCTGGGATAATTCTCGGCATCGCCCCGCGCCTCGGATGCGAAAGATATCTTTATCTCTCCGTGAACCCATGGCCGCTTGGTTCCTCAGATTAGCACCTGTTCTTCAACGTTGCGTGCTGGCTAAGCTAAATGAGTGTTCAGGTACATGCCAAAGAGAGAGACAGAGACAGAGAGAGAGGGAGAGGGAGTAAGCATGTGTGTAAGAAGGAAGGAGCCAACAGGATGCCAGTTGTTGGGTGTCATGTCAAACCAAGGCACCGGATGGTGGAGGTTAAGCGTACTCTGGAGATCACCGGGGCAAGGGGGCAAAACTTTTAGCACAGATGAAGCTTACAAATCCCCAATGAGACTTCTCAGAAACGATGATGGGAACTTTGTTTCACCCCACCGAGGCAGACACAGTAGGCGTTGAACTTAGCGGGACCTCGACTTTTCCTCCCCGTTCGCCCTTTCATCCTCCGTGCTCAGTTTTACCGAGGTTTCAGAAAGCTACGGTTTCAAAATCGCTTGAATTTCTTCCGTCACACCATTCCCACAGTTTGAAGCGAGAGAAAGCTTTCCGCTGAGAGCAGAGTTTTCACAGCTCACCCTCAACCATCAATCACTGCACTGGTCATCTGGCTACAAGAAGCCTCCTGACCCCATGTGTGTGCAGTTGGTGGAGGACCCAAACACAAGCAGGAGGTAGGAGCGACAATGTTCAGGTGATTCATTAACTTAGCAAGCTGAAACACAGAGGAAAACTCCAGAAAACACGAGAACAAACAAGAAAATCTGGTGAAGAGAAGTTGAAAACGGAGCGTATCAATACTGGGGACAATGACTGCTGAAGCGAGGAACCTGTGAGAACAATTAACTCAATGAACTGAAAATGCACACACAGGGAAACACCAGTCAGAGGAACTAACTAAACACAGGTAAGCAGAGAGTCTAATAGTGTATTTCAACTATATTTTCTTTATACAAGCAGAGAATATCAGATTGGGTTGTTTTGGGAATTTTTCTTGCCTTGTAAAACTACTTGACTGTACAGTTTCAACAACGACATCTGGTAAGTTGTTTTATAGAGAAAAGCTATTACATCTTTACTATGTTGCCGTTTATAGTTTTAAATCCCTGTGTCAATACCCCGATGCTGTGCTGTTTTTACTCAAGGTCGTCATGCTGTGAGAATCTCACATCAATCATGAAAGTTTTTCTCTGAGAAAATTAAGAGGCGAGTCTCACAGCTGTTATTTCACTTGGAAGAAAAAAGGAAAAAAGAAAAGTCCAATTTTCATCATCTGCGCTTTCAGTGTTTCCGTTAATAAAGCAGCATTCAAGGCCAGTGGCAACTGAATACGGTCTTCAGGGGCACATGAATATTTGAAGTTCACGGTGGAGCAACACGAGGAGCGGGAGGAGGAGCAAGACGGCGCGTGGATCACAAAACAAGACTCCAAATCAGCCCACTTTCCACTCGCATGTAGCAGAAGTAAACAAAGGCGCAGCGGTGATGTAAGCCAGAAAAACAGACTTTTTCTCTCATATTCATGAACCGTCTTGAACTCATGACTCATCCTTAGCGGCTTGGTGAAATGTTTATGCTGCGGAGTCTCTTGCAGGCATTTTACAAGAGGGGAGCAAAGAGAGGTGGAAAATGATGCCCTTACAGAATATTCTCCAGAAAAAAACAACAACAAAAAAACCCCTTGAAATTAACTATTTTCATCAGCTCAAACACGCCGCGTCGTCTTCTGTGCTCGCACAGTACCTCCTGTGGGGGAACAAAAAGTTCTGAGCACCGCGACGCAAACTTTCGAGGCGCTCTTTACCTTGGAAGAAGCTTTTGACGCGGAGGTAGGAGACGGCGAGGCGCAGCACGGACAACTTGTCCAGTTTGGAGATGACGTCCGGAGGGAACGGCAGCAGGCTGGCCAGGCGGTCCAGCTCGGCGTTGAGCCTGTCCCGGTGCCTCTTGGACGGGTTGCTCTTCTCATTGGCAGACGACGGCTTCCTGTCGACGACAAGGCGGACGGGGAGAAACGTCGAGACGTGAACGTTCGGGTTCGGGTGGGGTTAAAAGCCAGAAACATGTCCTTCGGGGAACTTCTGAAGCAAACTTAGACTTGAGAAAACAGCCGACAAAAATCACCCACTTGGTGAACTTTACTTAAAACTTTTTTCTTTTTTTTTTTTTTAAACTGACAGGGTATCTATTTAAATTTACACTTTATGTCAGGTTTTTAACATCACAGGGAAAATAAATACACCTGACACATATGAATCAGCTTAAATCCTGAAAGCAAAAATGACTACTATCTTTGTCAATTTTGGTGCAAAACTTTATTTTTTTAGCAAAGTTACTTTTAGGAAATAGCGTGTGTTAAATGCAAACCGAACCTTCATAACTCTCTTAGCATAGAAACAGGTTTCTTTTTAATGACTCTTGCAGGGAAAGCGCAGCAGGTTGCAAACTAATGCAAAGAGTCAGGACTTGATAAAACCACACTGCCCACAAGGAAGTCTTCCCTCTCTGCCTTGAAAAAATCATAAAACCACATTTATTTGTGTCTTTTGACAACAGGCTTGGGGACGGGAAACAGGAATCTCGCACGACAAAACCCAATAAAAAGTTAGTGCGTGATTCTTCCCGGTGTAATCTTGGACAATCGCCGTTAGTTTGACTGGAGCATAGAGGCATAAATTAAGATTTTTGTTGTTTTTTTTTGTTTTTGTTTTTTGTTACTTTACAAAAAAAATAAAAAATCAAAGGAAACCACAAAAACAGCAGAGTACCAGCGTGCCTGTTTCATTTTAGGAGCTGAAAAAAAGTCCATGCAGGGAAGTGGTTTTGATGTGGCAAAGATTTCCTCTCAGATCAGCAGCAAAAGGCAGGGACCAGTAGAAAACTTTAGAAATGCCACAGGCCGTTTTTTTTGGAGGAGGGGTGGGGGGGTCAATTACCACTTCCCTCTTCATTAACTTATATAACAGTCATCACTATTCATTACATCCCTTAGGATCGAATAGGAGAAGTCTGCATCACATAAAAAATACATTTTAAAAAAGCCTAATGTGGCCACATTTCAGCCTCATTATATTGAAAGCATGAAGTTCGACCAAAATACTTATAAAATCTACTCCAGGGTGATGACTTAATTCAGAAGAAACAACAAAAAGTCCAAAAAAATAATTGTGCTTGTGCATAAATGCGTCCAACAATCATTAAGCGTAAGCCTGGAAAAAAAAATTATTAATAATAATAATAATATGCAAGCACTTATCTAATGCATGCACAAGAGCAAGCGTGACTCCTTAACTGTTTCTGGACGGGCTTCCTCCTCTTCCTGCCCGCGTACATGCAGTCTCCAGGTGGGATCATGGTCTCGCGCTCCGTGGAGGTAACAGGTGCGCTGCGGATCAGACACGGCAAGTTTAGAGCTGCTTTGCGACGCGGCCGCGGGAAGACGCTTCCAAGCAGGACACGTGCAGGATGACAGCTTCAAAAGCAGCGTTTTGTTGACCATTATTGCGTTTCCAAAGGTCAAGCTTTGACCCCCGCACCCCTAACACACACGCTCTCCTGCCCCTCCAGATCAAATGTGTGGAAAATGAGTGCAGCCCTCCCACCCGTATTAAGTTTAAATGCTTAAATGATCTTGTCCCCAAGAGTGTTCATGGTAACTTATTCAAAAACAGTAGAAAAATGACCTCTATTTAATTTTTTTTAAATCACAAAACTTAAAAAAAATAATAATAAAACTGCTAATTAAAAAAGAAGAAGAAAAGAATCAGAGAATAATACACTAACCCAGAATCTCCGTGGATTAAATCCAGAATCGAGTTGGCTCCTGAATCACATCCACTTTAAAATGTTCCAGAGAGACGCACCGGCTCCGGGAAGCGATAGATCCAGCGGGAAGGCGAAACACGAACGCGGCCGGGGGTCCCTGCACGAGCTCCGCGCTGATGTTTTCATCAGCGTCGCTCTGCTCGGAGGCAGATGTTGGCTGATTCTTTATACCCAATCGAGTCGCCTCGACTTCCTCGCGTTTCAGGTGGCGGATTCCTCTGAATGACATGTCGAGCTCTTCGCACGCAACTCGCTGCCTCGCAAAAAAAAAAAAAAAAAAAAAACCGGCGCGAGCGCACAAACCCTCATACGCGCGCGCGGGGGCGCGCGAGCGCACACACACACACAAAGAACAGGAGCTTATGCTGCTTTCAAGTGCTGCGCGTAACGTGGGAATTGGTCGTTTTGTTGTGGTTGGAAGCGCATTGAGATTGTGGTTCCCACACTGAGCGTCCAGCTTGCCCGGGACTCCCGTGGGGGGTCGGTGTGGGGGCTTCATGAAGTCTGTGGCTCCCATCTCCTCCATGTCTGCCTCGGGTTCTGGGGGTGTGTGTGGGGGGGGGGGGTCTGTGTCTCCTCACCCCTGCCATTGTACATTTATATGGAGAAACCTTATGCACACACGAGCTTGTATTAATTAGTCCCGCGTGCTTCTCAATGACATCATTGTTGTAGTTACATTATGTTGTTGTGTCGCTGTGGTTTCTTGATTCTCGCTTATTTTCTTTCTGCAGGTGCAGAAGCAAATTTCTGGGGTGAATTCTTACGCACTATTTCCCCTCCTCTGTTCTTTACTTCCACTTTTCCTCTTAGCTTTTCACTTTTCCTGTTATCCTTTCTTTTTTCTTTGTCTCTCTCTTTTTTGGTCTTTCCTGTCATTGCATCCATTGCATTTGAAATGAACATTTTGCATTTTGTAATGCAGCTATATGAGCTATCGTTGCCGGCTATTTATTTAAAAAGGGACGATTCACGTCACATCGCATGCCAGAGGCAGCCATAAAGCCTGGTTGTCATGTGTAGTTCCTTCAGGTACAATCAATAAACAATATATCGTAGTGAAATACAGATAAATGAACAAGTTTCCTCATAAAAAAAGATAATAAATAACAAAATGTTAATATGTGTAAATATATATATTTTTTTTCCTCCAACAGGTTCACATCATCGAGCTGGACACGATGCCAGGAACAAGTTTTGTTGACTGACACCCACAGTGACCAAGGCTTACCAAGCTGAGAAATTCCTTTAACGCATTTTGTGCTTTCAAACACTGTAGAAAAAAAAATTCTCTTGGTTTCCACATTATGACTATCCAGAATTTTCGCTTTGAATTTTGCTTTTCTCGGAGGCAAATGAAAGCTTTTTATCAGCCACCACTTTCTCTCGTATCTCAGTGCAGAGTGTGGGAAATTTTAACGCTGCAGTTGCAAATTGTGCACAATTTGTGCACACCTTGTTGCTAGATGCATGCTGATTAGAAGTGCAAATAAACCCTATTTTGTTTGTTTCTTCTACTGTAAGGATCAGCAGGTTTAACATGCAAAGCAGACATTTTGGATTGTAAAGTCAGGATTGGGATTTTTTTCTCTTTTAAGATGTTACCTTCTGAGTAAACATTCAATGCACAATAAAACTTTGTTTGACACTGTCAGTAGAAAACTATTATTTATATTTTCAGCAGCAAGCATAACATACTGTAAACTTTATTTTAAATGTCTTTCAAGGTGCTTGTATTTGGATAAGTGCTTGCTATAAGAGTTTGATAATTGTTGCATTTGGTTTGTTGTTTTTTTTTTGTTTTTTTGTTTTTTTATTGTCGTTCATCGTTTTCATAAGAAAAAGAGGAAAAACACTTGCTGATTTGGATCCCAAACCCTACCATTTTCTTTTACTTTTAAATAAAACCTCTTCTACGTTTCTGCGTTATGTTTGTGTCAACCCTCGTTTGACATTTGTGGCGACATTGATGTAAAACTCCAAATAAGTCTGCGCCTATTAGCTTAGATCTTGTCGAGGAGCACGTGAAAGCAGCATACGCTTAAAGCGACTCGCGCGAACTGCCCCCCTCGTGGGCGGCACACAGACACAACCAGAGGGGCGGGACCTCGCGCTCATTCCGGTGGGAGGCGGTCGCCATTTTCAAACAGGACAGAGGGGAGGGTGCCGACGCGAAACAGGGGCTTCACAACCAAGCACGAGCTTTCCTTTCCTTTCCTTTCTCTAATGGGTTAACGGGGAACCAACTTCCAGCAACCGGATGGTGCAGCGGGAAAAGGCGTGACAGTTGCGTCAAACGTTAAATAAATCCTTTTGTTTACCCCGGAATCCTCTTCAAAACAAAACAAGCACGCGCGGCGCCTCTGTAAAGTTTGGCGCCTGCGTGGGCTGTTTACATGAAAACGTCACGAAGAGTGACTTGGTAGTTGGGACTTTACGAAACCGCACTGGGTGAACCTATTTGTGAAGAGCTGCGGTGATCTCCAGTCACCTGTCTCGAACAGCCTCGGCTTCCAAGGGCGGAGTCTCTGACGTCACATGGGGGCTCCGGAGAGCCACTCCTTCTGCCGGCGCAGAGAAACAAACATCCAGCGCGCGCAAGAAACCGGCCACAGAAACCATTGCATTGCAAAAGAAAACGTTGATACGACCCTGAACATCCACAATCAGTTTACACGTGCTTGTTTTAATGAAGAGTCTGAAAATTATTTGTTTCGTGGCTTCATAAAGAGAAGTCTCAAAATCTTTCTCATGGTGCCAGCCCGGCGCTTACCACGAGGGGGCGTCCATTTTTTTGATGTAGCATTTAAACAAGGAGAAGAAAACTGCTAGCGTTAAAATGTTCTTGTTAGCACTAAGTTGTTTCCATGGGGTAATATTACTTGAAAGTGAGCTGCAGTCGCAACGTTACAAAAATAATGTTGTTTGCTGTATTTTTATTACTAACATTGTGGAAAAAAGTCATGTATTTTTCTTTTCCGTTTAGCATCACTTTGGACTCTTGTGTCTAATAAAAAAACATTTTTACGTGACTGAACAAAATCGGCCGATTGAAACTCTTGGTTTTGTCAGCGGGAGACGTGCGACCGGACATGAAAGCTCCCATCTTTCCGGCCTTAAGGTTCCAATTTATGAATATCTTCTGGTCTGCACACAAGTAAAACGCGCAGTGGCACAGAGGTCATGTGAAGTGACCCTTGCAAATCTACAGGGATGTGTATAACCGGCCATTTTTAGGGAAAGGTGTTGACGTGCGCCCTCTTCTTCGTGCCTTTTATCTTCTCTTGACTCGAGTTTCTATAACGGCCCCTTAGACGTCCGTCATAGAAGAGAGGAAGGAGAAAAAGATATTCAGACGGGAATAGTTTGAATAATTTTTATACCTGTCAGGCATGCGGTCAGGTACACGGGGGGGACGTAATGCGGCTCAAGAAGTTTTTTGACGTCAGCCGTTTTTATTGGCTCCAAAAAGTTTTTTGCGTTGCGTTTCTTTTGCCGAAACTTTGATCCCGCAGGCCAATAAAGCCTGATGACAGCATGTAGCTGTCACTGCCCATTTTGGCAGCAATATTTGAGTAAAACAGCTATAATCACCCCTGGTCCTTATCAATAATGCATGTAGCATGGCGGAGAGGACGGAGGGGGAAAATAATGGCGGTGAAGTTCCTACGAGAGCAACCGAATCCATGTGTTCCCAGCCTGCTCTTTTGACAAGGCCTGACATTGCATTCATTAGCGTGAAGCAGTCAGGTTGCGCTCGCGATGGCGCGCGTGGCACTTTACCGGGGGAGACACGTTACCTTTGTTGTGACAGGTGAAGCTGTGGATCCATAGAGGCCTTGTTAAGACTGTCAGCTGCTTCCGTTAAAGCTACAGGGAGCTTTTGGTATCGTTGCAAATCCACAGCCAACATCGTCCAAGCTGCCTTCCAGATTAGCCTGGGCTTAAACTTCCGGTAACCCTTCCCGGGGCTGACCTGTGCACGCAACCTTGAATGCGTCTGCGTACAGCGTGCGCTTTGAGCGGTCGAACAGGAAACAAGGAGCTCGGAGACGAACCGGCCCGGGGGTGGACCCGCTGGGAGCCCCCACTGGGATTTTGTGGAGACCCGCGGGGAGCCGTGACCCGACCGGTCTGATCGCAATGGATGTTCATGACTGATGGGAGGGTCAGGATCGGAAAGTAGTTACACACACACACACACAAGCACATACTCGCTGATCCCCTGTCACTGTCATTTAGAGCAAACTCTTTCTTGTTAAGTGCCACATGACTGCTCAAATGGAAGTAAAGCTTTCTGCAAAACAAAGGACACAATGCGCAGTGTGTTCCGTTTGAAATGGTTCAACCTCGGTCAGATTGGACGGAGAGTGTGTCAGCATCAATTGTCGGTGTCTTGCCGCAGATTCCTTATTGGATTTGCGCCTTAGGACTTTGACTGGGCCATTCTAATGCATCAACTTGCTTTGGTCTAATCTAGTGGTGTCTGAACATTTTGCCATATGGGCCAAAAATCTTCAATTGAAAAGTGCTTGGGGGCCAAAAAATTAAGTTTGTGTGTTCTTCATTAAAAGCCAAAAAAATGTGTATATATATTTTATTTTTTATTGTTACCTGCTCAATAATGAATATCTTCTTCCACATATTTGCAGTTTACTTTAAAGGGACAATGTTATGTATTTTCCAGGCATGTAAATGCACGATCAAGTATGTTAGTTATATATTGTAGTTGTTGTAAAAGAAATTTGACTTTGTAATTTAACGCCTTGAAATTGGGACACTGCCTCTTTAAGAAGCCCCTTCTCTTTCTGTAACTCCGCCTTCAGGCAGTCAATATATTATTTCTCTACCAGCTATTTAGCAATGTTCCCCACCCTGAGCAAAGAAGGCATTGTCTCTTTGAATTAAAATAAAAGCACCTTTAAAAATTCAAATTTGAGAAACCTCTCAATCAAAAAAAAAATGTTTTGAGATTAATTTACAATTGTGTTTTAGTCTCAGGTGTGAGGCATGTGCAAGTGTTCAACCTACAATAATGCAGCTTGTTTGTTCAGATTTCATTTTTTTCAACTTTTTTTTGTTTTTGTGCCAATTATACATATATTTTTAGATTTTATTCTTGGACTTTTCTTGGAACAAATTTCTCACCGTAAACTATTGGGGTGATAGATAGAGATGCGCAGAACACGCACAACACGCTCCCAACATTTGTATTAGTGAAACATAAAAATTTAAA